TATCTACGGTGTAGCGATTTATACCGTTTGACTACGTATCTCACATTGACGTACGCTATATTTTGCCCAATTTGTGTGTTAATGTATTATTCCTCACTGGTAAATCGGCTACTAGTGAGTAACTTGGTTTGGGGTAGGTAGGTAGGTAGGTAGTATTACACGGCACGGTCCCGCTTAGGAACGCCGGTTCCCAGGGATTGTCTAAGTGTACATGCGCCCAAATACACTATTGCCAAACATCAGTCGTGTGGCGGGTTTTCAATTGAGATGCGCCACCAGCGCTTTGTTGTTTGTTCCTTCAGTTTTTTGCCCTCGGTCGAAATGGTACAGTATATGTATGTCATTCAAGAAGTTTTTCAGATTATATCAAAAATATTCAATAACTATATTACAGCCGTTAACAGTACCGAAGGCGCGAACGAAAAAATTACTGTTTTTGGCCATTTTTGATGCTTTTCAAAGAATTCGCTGTTCCTCGCTCAGTTCTTACTGAATGAGCTCGAAAGTATGCTAGAAATGACCGCCTAGTCGATGCGCAATTAGTGATAGAGCCATATTTCTTTATAAATCTCATTTTGGATGTGTGGGCAATGTGAGCTTTATCAGCGCAGGAAATGGAATAGCAGGCCCAGGTCAGCTCCAATCGGGCTGGTTTTTTGAGACAACATACTTGGATGCAATCTGATACCTTTCATAGAGCCAGAAATGCGTATATATTTTTCGCTGCCCCTCGCAGCTCACTTTGATTATTTTCTAGTGCAAAATACAGAACTCAATGTTGCAAGCGGAGTTTTCACTCAGTAATTCCATGGAGTACTCTAGCAGCAGTGCAGGTGGACTCTGAATACTACTACGCGGTCACTTGGGGGAAAAACGCGTCCCAGAACGCGGTTACCTTGAGCGCGTCGCGCGGCCATCACGGCAGCCGTGACCGCTTCATCACGGCCGCATATCGCCACTACGGCGTCGCCAGCGCCACACCACTCTTCCACCGTGTATGTCAAACCCTGCTTCGCTCAAGGCCGCTCGGAAGAAAGCAGCTAAAGCCTCGACCAGAGCACAGGCAGTCTCAAAACTCCAGACAGCCCTCGGAACATCATCCAGCCCACTTCCTTCTGACGATGACTCGAACTCGACGCACTCCACTCCTCTTGCCTTCCCGGATTCCGATACTCCTATGGCAGATCCTTCAGACGACGAGACACCGAGCACAGTCCGGCAGACCCGGTCGAAGCGCAAGTCCGATAAGATCTCTGATGGTTCAGATGTTGAAGACGCCGTTGGACCCGCCAAACCAGCCAAGAAGAAGCCCGGGCCAAAGCCGACGGCTAAGCGCAGCCCAAGCTTGGACATCACGAGTGATTCTGAGTCGGAGCCGGAAGTCGTGACCAAGAAGAAGAAACCTGCAGCAAAGAAACGGGTAAAGAAACCGGTAAAGAAAGCTGCAAAGAAGAAAGGCAAAGGTGCTCCGCCTCTCATTCCCTTGTTTCAATCCTCATATTCTGCTTTAGAAGCTGCTGAGACCGGCACCGATGGCGAGAATATTCTTCCGGACCCTGTCAGTACGTGCGCAATGATGTCGCCTCTGTACGATTCCTGACGCTGTGCCGTCAGAGATTGTTTTCATGATTCCCGAAGCACAGTCCGAGGGCAATCAACGTGTCCGTATAGAGTCCTCGGCGACGTTTGAAGATGTCGTCGAGCAAATCCACGAAGTCATCGGTTGTGTCAGTGTGCCAGTGAAGCCGAAATTAGCGTATAGGCTTTCCAGCTCAAAGGTCAAAGACCCCTCTGTAAACCTTCGGACTGCGGATGATTGGGAGGGTCTGACCGCCGATGTCGTCGCGAAAATCAACGCCAAGAAGGACCTGACGGTCACAATTTGTGTTGAGCCAGAGAACGTAAGCCTTTGAGCTGTTTTCTTTCGCGTAATTGATCTCATTTTGCTGCTAGTACATGTTTTCGCTCCGGGCTAAGAACAAGAAGAAGAAAACTCCCGCTGTGTCAAAAGGTAAAAAAGGGAAGATGACCACTATGGATCTCGACAACGATGATCCGGACGGGGACGACAACGATGACGATGAAGCTGTTGCTGACGGCAGGCTATGTCTGAACTGGACAGTGAATACAAGAAATGTGTCAAGTGTGGGCCAGCGGTTTTGTGCAAAATTGACCGGTCAGGCAGTCATGTCCATTTGACCTTTCAGCAGCGCCGAGCATGGGCCGTCAGTCTGGTATGTTCCTCCTTATAGGTCGCAACTGTTGAAACTCAATTGTATTTGATACAGGCGTGTAAAACGATCAAGGTCACGAAAACGACACCGCCTCAAAGTGACATGTTCAGCATGTTCCACGGCGCTCGCAAGGAAGAGAACACGGCAGCCCCAGGCTCGCATAACCCCTACTATCCCCCTCCGCAGTGGTATCCACCCCCGATGCCGCCGCTCGGCTATGGGATGCCTGGTTTCCCAGGTTATGCGGCCATGCTGCCCGCGGCTGAACATCGCCCCATGCTATCTAGCGACTCCCCCGATGACCCCACTGCCTATCCTTCTGTGATCGAGTTTATCGAGAGCCTCGTTGCCAGTGCTCCCCAGCGATATGCGCTTCGCACGTTGGGAGAGACCCTTGATTCACTACATCTCTTCGACATCAGCGAGATCAAGGACTTGACGGTTGATCAGCTGGGTATGGAGAAGTTCGGCAAAGTCGTTCTGGGTGATGCACAGTATCTCTTGACGAAAGTAGTGAAGGAGGTCAAGCGGTTGGACAAGCTAGCCAAGCGGTCCCGGTTGTGAAGTGGTTTCTACAATATTTGTCGCGCCAGAAGTGACTTACAATACAGTATTCATGTCTTATATTTGCTATCCAAAGTCGCGAGGTGTGCGCACAATAATTCATTCCCATTTTATGAATGAAATAAGCAACTACACATATCCAGCGTGGTGGAACCATCCCCGCGAAGCTTCGGGAGTGACCTGGGACATAGCATTGTACAGATACACATACGGCGCGGCTTTGTCATCGCCCTCGCAGACACGGCGGAATTCTTGCCCATTTCGCCGAATGTAATGCTTGATCCAGGAAAATGTTTCTTCAGTCGGATTGAAATCCGGGGAGTACGGCGGGAGGTAGAGTAGCTTTATTCCCCTAATACACAGAGGCATTAGTTGTCAGGAAGAGAGGGCATGAGGAAACTTGAACTTACTTTGCATTACACATTTTCTCGACGTCTTCGACGTGATGAATTCGACAGTTGTCCAAAATCAAAACACTCCGTGGAGCGGGGTATGGATTCATTACCTCCAGGAGGCCCTCAAGCCACTCTACGAACTGTTCCCCGTTGTATCCACCGACTTTCACGTGAGTATAGATGAGGCCGTCGACTGTAATAGCAGGCAGGAGTGAATATCTAGCGGAATCAGTGAGGATCAAAAGGGACAGGACAGAGGATCTACCGGGTTCCGCGAATAAAATTGCATGCTTTGCGTGCTCGTGTGCCTTTGTAAGCCCAACCGTTGTTACGATATGTAGTCAAGATATTCACAGCAGCTTCATCGGCGGTGACAAGATAGTCTGCGGGATACTGACCGACCTCCAGAGCGAAATCACGCCGCGCTGCTTCGCATCGTTCTGCTGCAGGCTTTGAAAGCTGGAAGTGGCTGAGCAAGCAAGCTCTAAGATCGGCCGCAACAGCGCACCTTTTTCGAGGTCATTCCAAGCCGCTTGAGAGTGCGACTGATGGTCATGAGACATAGCTCAAGTCCGTGAACCAACGAGAGCTGCTCTTGGATTTCATCCAGAAATAAATCCGGAGAATGCTCAAGCATGGCGAGCATCATCTAAACATCATCAGGAAAATGGTGGGAAATGGTGAGAAAGGCGCACATCAACAGCCTCTCTCGACATTAGTGGGGCCCTGCCAGAACGAACTCTCTGCCTTGACACCTCTCCTATTTCATTCCAAACCTGCCGGACGCGCTGAACGACGCGCAAAGGCATGTCGAGCAAAATTGAGATCTCCGTGGAGGTCAATTGAAGTCTCTGAGACATGTGTATTACACGGCGCTTGAGATCGCGGGAATAGTGCTGCCTGAGAGGTTCTTGTCGTCTCTTTTGTGCCATAGTAGAGCAAGCTTGAAGAAGTGGCCAGTAGGAGTGGTGAGAGTTTGTCGCAACGCGCGGCTGATGTGACATATCTGTCATCCCGGTATTACCCGCTGCACCGCGACATCAGAATTGCGACTGGGTCGAAACATTCATACAGTAAAGTGCAGCTTCAAGAGCCTCAAAGTCCGCTGCTCGAGTCCACCTGCACTGCTGCTAGAGTACTCCATGGAATTACTGAGTGAAAACTCCGCTTGCAACATTGAGTTCTGTATTTTGCACTAGAAAATAATCAAAGTGAGCTGCGAGGGGCAGCGAAAAGTTAACGGCTGTAATGAAGAAAAAATTGGTTACTGGTTCAGAAGTTAGGAAACCAGCCCTCGTGGATGAATTGGCACATCACCCTTGCATTACCCACCGCAAATGAGAAATTTCGACGGCCGTAAATGGAGGCGGGGTTCTTTTTACCAAGGGCATGCCGTGCAGAAAGGCTCTTTTTGCCGTACAAGAGACGGCTAATAAATGGACTATATTCAGGTTCACAGGTTAGGAAAAGAGCCCTCGTGGAGGAAATAGTGCATCATCCATTCTCAGTGAAGAAGGGGAATGCCGAAATGGCCTGGACCAATAGCTGTGCCCAGTTAGTTTTACCACACTCTAAATGTCAAAAGATGAGGGCATACGTAGCTGTGTTCATAACTACAGGAAATAAGCCCTTGTGGATGAATTTGGCCAATCACCCACCACAGGTAGTAGCGATGGAATGTGACTGTCGTGAATTGGAAGTGGAGGTTCGAATCTTTCCAAGGGCAGAAGGTGGTGGAGGTCAATTTGTCAACTTTTTTTTTCGGGGTGCAAGAGATGGCTGAAAAGGTTTGGAGGTAAGGAGAATAACCCTCGTAGATGAATTGGTACATCACTCATTCTGACTTTTGAATAAGAAGCATGGACATGGAAATGGGAAGCGGAGGTTCGAATCCTCCCGAGGACATAGGCAAGAGTGATCAATTTTTTTATTCCCCTACAGTGCTCTGTAATGCATATTTTATAGTAATCTGTGAAAGGACGAGATCCTACGCCGGTCAAGGGCTAGAAAAAGTAGCCCTCGTGGATGAATTGGCCAATCACCCACCACAGTAGTAACGATGGAAAGTGACTGTGAATGGGAAGTTGGGGTTTGAATCCTCCCAAGGGCATGAAGTGGTGGATCTGTCACTTTTTTTCGCGGTGCAAGAGATGGCTGAAAAGGTTAGGCTAATGTTTGGAGGTAAGGAAAATAGCCCTCGTGGATGACGTACATCGCCTATTCTGACTTTTGAATAAACGTAGACGTGGAAATGGGAAGTGGAGGCTCGAATCCTCCCGAGGGCATAAGCGAGAATGGCCTCTTTTTTTATTCCCGTATGGTGTTCTGAAATGCTCATTTTGTAACATGTGAAATGACGAGGTCCTACACCCGTCCAGGCCTAGAGAAATACCCCTCGTGGATGAATTGGCATATCACCCACTATAAGTTTCGAGGTTCGATGCCAATGGAACAACGGGAGGCGGGGGTTCAAGTCCCGAAGGGAATTTACCAGGCCAAATGCGCTCTTTTTGCCGTGCAAGTGACGACTGAATAATCGGTTATATTCAGGTTCTGAAGTTAGAGGAAACAGCCCCTGTTGATAGATCGGGACATCGCCCACTATGATTGTACGACAATGTAGTGGACAAGAACATGGAAAGTGGGGGTTTGAATCCTCCTGCGGGCGTTAGCAATAGCCACTGCTGTGTTTGCTGCCGATGAAAACGGCGGAAGGATTAGATCCCATCTCTGCCCAAAGGTAAGGGGAATAATAGCTTTCGTGGATGAACCGGTACATCACCCACCGCAAATAGAGCTGTCCGGTGCCTACGTGGATGGGGGGTGGGGGTTCGAGTCCCCCCGAAGGCATTAACGGTCAAGGTAGCTATGTAACTAATAACTTTTTTCTTTCTTTCTTTCTTTCTGCCTGTCTTTTGGAATACACAAGTGCTTACTAACTTTAGTGATTAGATGAGATCTCCGAGGTATCGATTGGGACGTACGGAAGATGAAATAGCACAAACCCACATACGACACCCTCTTAATATTTATAAATAACTCTGCCATAGTGCAATGAAATGCGTTCGGACGGAGATATTAACTCTGTTCGCTTGTCCAGAAAGTGTTGCTGTAGCTTCAGGTTGGTTCAAAACACGCAAGATCGGCCGGCCGTATTCGGCCATCAACTCGACGCATACATATAGGACTACGAACGACTATGTGTCAACTAGCGCAATCCAGTCCCACCTACATGTGCGTATCCCTGAATCCATCCTCGCTCGTCCTCCCATGGCCTACCATTAGCATCGGCACACGCTCCGCCCGCGCAGAACCCCAGCCACGACCTCGAGGCACACGACCTACATATGCGCATGCCTGGCACTGGCTGCGCGACCCGCGACGCTCACCTTACGTGGTGCGCCTTGTCTCCAGCCCATGCACATGCACTCCTTACCTGTGCCCCCTGCGCTGCCACCCCGAAGTGACTGAGCGCCACCCTCGCCCGTCCCGTACGTCCCACCTTCTTGCGTTGTACTGTGCTGACAGACCGTGGATGTGTGTATGTAGAGCGCGTGGCCCGACACCCCACGTCACGACGGCGACGAAGATAGCACGACACGCCACGCCACGGCGGGACTGCGTATCCTGCGACGCATCGCTACTGCATCCCAATATCGCTGCCGTGCTGGTGCCCGTGCCCTTCTTCGCCCCCGCTGCACTGCAATTATTGCCGCGACCTCGCCCCCCGCTGCACCGCAATCAATATTTAGCCCCACCGCGCCCTCAATGGCACGCAACGCCCCCACACCAGAAGGACACAGTGGCGCTGCACCGGAAGGAGTCGGCGCGTCGCGTCTACGTGAACACCGTTTTTTCGCTCCAGGCGCGCGACGCTTACTCGTCTGCCGTCTGCACCTGCTCGTACCGGAATCCTCACCCCGCCGCGCCGTCGCGCGTGAATGATACGGCGGCGCCACGCGCGACATCTCCGCTCTCGCGTGCACCTCCGCACCGCATTCACGGGAGGGTGTCGTGCGCCTCATCGTGCGCGCCGGCCGCGGCCGAGTCGGGTGCGAAAACGCTGGTCGACCCGGGTGCGAAAACGCGCGGCGCAGATAGAGCTGCCCCGCGCCACTGGCAGTCGGCTGTGCGTTCTGGATTTTTTGAAAGGCGCGGCGCTGTTATATGAAAGCTTGACCGGGCTTGGCACTGCGCGGCTGGTGCAAACGATACCGCCTTTCTCGCTAGAGAAGATACCCGACCTCCTCGTGCTGCGTGCGGAGAAGTAGTGATCTCTCGCACTTCGTCCCTTGCACCGCTTCTTGTCCCTGGGGACGTCGTGCGCCCCGGGCGTCTGTCCCGTCGTACGCCTCGGCGATGTTCGGCTCGTCGTCACCACTGCGCATGATAGATAGTCTTTCCCTAAAAAACACATTGCCTCGCCTCGACGCGTATCATTCACTCTGTGTTCATGCAGTCCTGCCGAGTTTATCCTTCTTCTGTTTCTGTCCCCTCCCTTCTCTGGCGGCCGACGTTTCGTGCGCCCTCCCGTCATACGTGCTCCCCCCTCTGCACACAATTATGTCTTGAGCGTTAGTTACATATCCCTTGTCCGCCGATAATCCTGAAGGAGAGGAGGCAGGGAAATAGAGCAGCTGGTACGTGCGCCTACCGAAATTTAACGGATACTTATATAAATGTCTCATCGTTGGTAGAGATAGTTCATCTCATGTTCGAATTCCAGACTTCATACCCAATCTATATGATGGCATCTTCCGTCGCATCTTTTGCCTTTTCTTTTTTAAATTTCTGGACTGCGTTAGGGCCAGCTCTCCGCTGAGAAGAATTTCCTATTTCAGGATACGCCGCAAGATATGCCGCGTAGATTTATATGTCCATGACGCTTAAATTCTCTGTACTGCAACGATATGGCCGATTTGGAGAAGGGAGTGTATATCATTCTAAAACGTACGATGCACGAAGCTGTATTCAAAAAATCACAAACGAGTTGTAAGCTGTGCGTAAAAACCCTGTAAAATGCACGTCAGTATATCGCCCACATGTACATACTAGTAAATATTACCGAATCATTGCTTCAAGACCCATAGCATCTATGCCCATTATATCACAGGGAGGATAACCAAAACTCTCCAGCCAAAACATTGGGAAGATATAGAGGAAATAGTTACATACCGTTGCACATTCGTCTCTGTCTATATGTAAAAGTAATTGACTGCTTTGTTCCGTAATCTGGACTGATCCTGTAGGATTCACCCGCGTACATATATGCCTATCCTATCGAGCTACCTTAATGGCGACAAAATTTATTTGTATCTTTGAAATATATATCTTCATGAGACCAACTGTCATACATGTATACGTGTGCCATTCAAGAATTTTTCGGATCATATACATATGAGAAATATTCACACTGTGAAACGAATTTTTTTTAAATGTCCTGGACAGCTGGACCATAAGATGCTTTTTCTGAACTGCAATGCGGAGTGCCTCCTTCAAATATACGATTCATCCCGCTTCCAATAATTCTGGAGTTTCGAAGTCTGAAATGATTTCACCAGCAGGACCAGTAATGCACTTGGATGCTGGTGGTATCTCCCATGGAAATCCTGATTGAATTGGAATATTTATACTGTGTTGGATAAGACCGAGATGCGCAATGGAAAGTCCGGTACAGATGTTCGGTTTAATTCGGCCATCTCGGACACCAATAGATCTGGCAGTGTTGTCAGTACTCGTGTCGAATTTCTCTTCATCGTCTATTCAGTCGATTTTCCTTCATATTCTATTTTTCACGAGTCGTACACCACCGCCCTAGATTTCAGGGTGATGTGTATGCGGTCGGTTTTTTCGTGATGCAACTGAACCACTGTCTGTTCCAATAACTCTTAGCCGGGTCGGGCAAATTTTGAGACATACCCGAGTCTGAAAGAGATCTTGACACAGTATTTCAGCGTTGGCACGTGAACGAAGTGGCGCAGGATACTAAATCTGTCCGCCATCTCCATATTGGCATGTATCAGGAGTAAGTACTCTAATAACGTTGGTAATCCATGCTACGATATTCATGTTCAGTCCAGAAGAGAATAGCCCTCGTGGATGAGATGGTACATCACCTCCGAGTTTTAGAGCACGTAAGGCGGGGGTTCGAATCCTCCCGAGGACATGTAACAGCCAGCCGTTCCTTTTTTTGGCGTGCAAGAGACGGTCAACAACATAGACTTTTAGTTAGGTTCAGACATAACGAAAACAGTCCTCTCACTCCTTCAGTCCAAGTGCTGCGAATGTAGAAATGTTAAGGCATGAGTGAGAGACAATTTTTTCTGCTTCTTCTTCCACAATGCTCATTTTACAGTGAGCTTCCCATGAACAGATCTTGTCCAGGTTCGAGGGTAAGGAAGAGCCGCACTTGGCCCATCGAGTTCAAATGTACCGCGGACATGGAAAGGGGAGACGATCCTCCCAAAAGCATTATTAGTGAGCGAGACAACAGACTTTTTTTTCCTTCCATAATGTGAAAAAATGACATCTTTGTACAGCTTCAAGGGTAGAGAAAATAACCCTCGTAGATGAATTGGCAAATGGCCCACCATTGATATCATGTGATGGTGCCAATGTGAATGGGAGGCGGGGGTTCGACTCCCCCTGAGGGTATTTGTAATGACGGTGCTCGCTGTTTTTGGTTCTTTTTGGCTACATGGAAACTGCGAAAGGATCAGCACCTATCCAGGTTCAGAGGTAAGGAAAACAGCACTCGTGGATGAATTGGCACAAAATATCAAGCTTATTTATGGGCTTCGATGTGAATGGAGGTGAGGCGGGGTTCGAGTCCCCCCGAGGGCATTGTGAGTGTTCCATGACGTTTTTTTTTTAAATCTTCATTTCTTTCTGGGCAGAGTCCCGCTGTCTCATATGGGTATGTGTAACGCCGCACGCTTTGCGGAGACGAAGGCGATTGCATCCGCCTCGTCGCGGCGGGCATCCCAGTTGCTATGGCATGATGATCCCGTATGTAACCCAAACTGGGCAGTGGTCAGCCCCGTTCGGACGGAGCGGTGCTGTAATTTCTGTTCAGTTGTGCGAAAATACTGAGGATGGTTCATGCTTATTTGAGATCGGCCGTCGTCGGCCATCACTGGCATCAGTTCAGCGCATCAATGCCGGCACTGCCACTGCCCTCGTCTTTTTGTACTTTCGTTCCTCCGGCTGTGGCGAGACGATGTCGAGGTTGTGCAGTATCCGATTGGTACGAGTCAGCCTGATGGGCTGAGCTGCACGCGTGCTGAGCGCTGATACCCCACGACCCACGCACACGCAGGCACTATCTATCGTCCTCCCTCCTCCCTCCTGCTTGCCTGAAATTGCTTGCCACTGTGCGTCCCGCGCCTAGAATTTACAGCCAAGTACGAGCGCGTGCCGCCGCATGCTCCCGTCGACGCTGTGAGTACTCTTAACAAGCGTTCACTCCTTTCTGTGCCGACGGGCCCTAGGGCGGACTGTGTAGCCCGACAACTAATATTTTAACCAACAAAAAGTGCTGCCCTAGCTACCGACTGGATTTTTGGATTCATATGTGGCTCTTCAAGTCAAACCAACACCGTTCATTCAATCGCTCATTTATTCCTCGGGATCTCTTTCCTAGGATACCCGATTCTGTGGCAGGGTACACCAATACAGAGTGTTATTACCACACCCCTTTACCGGCTGCAAGCCTATCAGTTCGTCATAAACTGCATCACGGTATACAGTGTCAAAACCCGGAAGCGAAAAATGCCCGGAAGCGAAAAGTTTCCATTTTGAGCGTGAATCCCGGGGTCATTTAGGCCGATTTGTTTTGGTGGGATACATTGAGGCCCGGCAAGTAACATACTGCGTGAAAACAGGCCTCGATCGAAATTAGCGCTCGCCAAAAATCAAACAGTGGCCCAAAAAGACAAAATCTCATTTATATGACCAAAAATTTGTATATTCCGTGCGCAGTTGTGGCTCATTGGCATCTACGATGCTTTGCAGAGTGAGTATTATACACGGGAGTATTGCTTCGGCGTTTCTCACTGCGCTCAGTTGGGGTGGGAGACGGGGATAGGTTCTTCATCGTGACATCCTCGTTTTCCACATCAGAGTCTGATGAATCATCGTCGGCCGATTGATTCCTCTGGGCCCGCGTCCTGCGTGGACGGCCTGGGGGATGACCTGTGAGATGCATGTGCACACGTATTGCGGTAGGAGGGAAGTAAAATGAGGTCTGTGATCTCATATCACCGAGATTTTCACATCCGGGTCAAACCCCCAAAGTGGCTATATAAGTGATCGCGCCGTGCGACACGACTACACCAAAATTTCCGAAAATATTTGAGCATACAATTCAAGGTCTGTAGTTTACTGATAGAACTTTCGCTTGTGCTCCGATAGTATGGAGCAAACTTTTTTTTTCGCTTCCGGATTTTGACACTGTATTCCACAGTAAGATGCGATGAGAAAGTTTTATTTTGACATTCCACTGAAGCTTGTGTAAATTTAGTGGCCGAATTTCGCAAATTTTTACATTTCCCAACGAATGAAGAACATGTTTGCAAAGCTGGTCATCATAGGCCGTTTATAAACCCGTTTATTGGCAAAAAAATAAAACACGGGGCCCGAGTAAATTAAAACAGTCCATCTCGGCCGAACCCGTTAGACGCAACAGCTACTGTTGGTCATACAGATATTAAATATGACTATGTGTATTGAACTCGTACAGGACTCGTACTGCCATGCAAAGCATTGGTCATAAGCGCAAGTTATTTGGAACGACTAGTAACCATCGCCAAAAATTATGCATTCGAATTCGGAAAATGAGGGGAGTGGCGCTGACTCGCCAAGTAGCAGTGATAAGCCGGATTTCAGGCCATGCCTGTAAACACGCATTTTGCGAAATCCTACATCTAGCACAATCATCCATGACTAGATGGCTAGCGCTAGGATCAAGCACGTAGACAGTGTTAGTACCTAGATGAGGGCTACAAGGCGATACTCTGCTAGCAATGCTTCATATGAGGTTGCTAGCTCAGTTTTGACCGGTTAAAGCTAAGTCTATGGGAGAAGCCTAGCCTAGGCGACTTTACACTATGATACATAACAAGATCTAGGAGGAAACCAATGCAGTAGCCAATGAGTACAAAGCTACCGACTTTGTTAGGCGTTGATATGAACTAGCCAAGCGACGCGACGAGACATGTGATGTTTCAATAGCGCAATATGACAGAATCAGGACCCACCGGAGTAGGTGGGGCCATCGGGTACTACGGGCCGGGAGTTATGACTCGGCAATTGCAGCCGCAGATCTAGCACCGGTGATATCCGGACCTTGACAGTAGGAATACGAATCGGCCCTAGTAAACGCTGGTGGATGTGCAACATTGCTAGGGCACTGTATCTCAAAGCTTATAGCTAGGGGACGAATACTCCTTGAGCTAGCTAAGGGATATAGGTCTCGGAAATGGCGGAAGCACTTTCTTATCGTGGAAGAACAGATTTCTCGGTGGCTGCTGATGGAACAACCATATGGGTCGGGCTGGGGGTTTCATGGATTGGACCAATTATATTCATTTTATTTATATTCTGTTTTGCTTGGCATGTATACCCAAGGCCTAGGCCGCCGTAGTTTCATGTGATTATGTATGTAGTTAGTAGTAGTATAAAAGCAAGGGGAGAAGTGGGAGGAGGGCAGCAGATTGTACCCTGGTTAGTGGAGGCAGTAACTATTCATATAGTGACCCCCTACGTTCTAAAGGTGCGCATCTAGCCCACCATCCATTTGTCCTTCAATAGAAGCTCATTTGCACAACAACACGCACAGAGTGCACTGAGGGATTGAGGGATTGAGGGTTTCAAGGTTTCATACTCGTTGAGAGTGGCTGATACTCGTTGAGAGTCGGTTTCTACCTGTTGAGGGCACATTGAGTGTTTGGATTCATACTCATTGAGAGTTGGTTTCATACTTGTTGAGAGTCTGCGTGCAGCATCACAGAACGCATATGCGACACAGAGCAGAGCGGTTAAAAGGACAAGGAGTCGAGGTTGGACTTGGTTGGAAGGATATAAGTGCAAGCTAGCACAATAAAACACGCCGGTTAACAGCCGTAAAACACACACACGTCCGAGAACATTGGTTAAGAACCTTGTGAAGGTCCATCTGTTCACGGATAGGAATTCTATAGGAGGTTACATCGCAGAGAGCTATTAGCATGACTAGCTAGGCTAGCGCGTTTCTAGTGTACCACAATCTGAAGTCAAGAGAGGATTGAAGCAGAGAAGAGATTACATTCATGGAAGGACTATCATAAAAGCAGCCTAATACTTGGTTCCTACCCCGAACTTTCGATCTTACGGCATACAAGCCGTTCTTTAGGGAGATAGCCAGGAAGTTAGCATTGGACGCTTCTCCTAGCCGAGCTAGCTATATTTGGTTGTTGGTTTTGTGGAGTAGTAGTGGTTTGACAGTTGTACTCGACAAGTCGCCTCATACACTCCGGTTGCAGACAGTGTTCTGCTAGGGCACCAGTAGAGCACACCTTCCATTTTATACATTACACTCGGCCCCCATGGCATGCGTATCAGCGGCGAAACCTCGAAGTAAATAATTCTTCCCAGTCTGTGGTGGACTGCATTATCTTTGCCTGAATTTCAGGGCACATGAGCCGTTGTACGATTTCGGCAGCCGTTGGGCGCTGTGAGGGAGACTGTGGCGTCTGTTTGGAAAACGGTGTTCCAAAATCGACTTGTTCTTCCTCTGGGGTTTTCTCGTTGACGTGTGGGTCGAATAAAGTTAGTGAGAAGAGGTGGTCAAACAGAGTTTGCCTGTGGGGTCCTGTGGGAGGTCAAAAATGGGGGATAGTGTGAAAATACCTTGTTCAGATGGCACCCTGCTGGCGTGCTTCGATCCGAGACAATAGAGAGTTTGCGCAACAGCCATTGGAGCCACCTCGTGGCTTTTTTGACGTGCGCAACTCGATGGCTCCACCGCCAAAAATATGACGTCAAGCCATTTGAATGGCTATTTTTGGCTGCAATGGCTATTTTGGCGGGGTTGGAGCCATTCGGCTGTGCATGTCAAAAAAGCCACGAGGTGGCTCCAGTGGCTGTTGTGCAACCAGGTTAATATTCAAGTCTCCGCTTTGTCTTTCT